CTTGAATTATCAGAGCATAATTAAGAAATTTCTGCTAGCGACCCGGCCATCGCTAATGTTCGAAAATTGCAAGAAAGTATGAGCTTTTTTAGCACCACTAATTTTATCAAAGTTATGTTTCACTGCATAGATCAGACGTTGATCAGGTCTGTTATTAAAAGTGTTTGGAGTTTATAGTGGATCTGTCTATTGAATATAAACCATGATGCATTAATGAGTTTACGGAGAAATTTATTTTGGAACGTTTGTAACAAATTTAAATTACCAGGACCAACGTTTATCCTTGCTTGACAGGCATATGTCAGCGTGGGTCTAATGATAATCTTGATGAGAAGTACTTCGGTTTGAACTTCTAAAGAGGATGCAGAATTGATGAGAGGATATATTTTGACAGCTTTTGCTGTTGCTTTTTGTAGGACTGACTTTATGTGTTGTTTCCATGTTAAGCGTCTGTCTATTAGTACTCCCAGTTATTTTATGGGTGTGGAATTGTTTGCCCAAGGGATTTGGTAACTATGTATTTTTAGAGGTGGGGGTTGAGGTTTCTGAGTGTGAAGATCTTTGTGTTTTCGTGGGATTCATATTGAGTCGCCATTAGTGGAATCAGCTGGTGAGAATGTGAAGGTGAGACTGAATATGATCGTATGCTAATAAAATGTTTTGATGAGATGAGAATACGTAATGCTGTGTCATCAGCATATAAGGGTATGTTCGAATCTGTGGCTGTTGGATTGTCTGCAGTATGAATATTCAAGAGAATGGGGGGCAAGTACTGATCCTTGAGGGACACCTGCAAGAATGCCGTGTGCGTTGGAAAGACTGTTGTTTACTTTGGCCTGGAAGGTTTGGTTTGTACGAAAACTTTGAATAATTTTATAGAGATGATCGTAAGTGCCAAGTTGCTGAATTTTATAATGTACGAATTGATGCCAAATGCTGTCTAATGCTTTAGCTATGTCTAAAAATACTGCTATTGTATGCTCTTTTAAATGAAAACTATTTGCTATATTTTCGACTAATCATAATAGAGGGTGACTTGTTGAATGATTTGTCTTAAAGCCTAATTGCGTTTTGGGTATGGTGTCATTCTCTATTTAAGAAATGGACTAGATGGCAAGAATTAATTTTTCGAAGGTTTTGACATTTGTTGAGAGCAGACTAATAGGTCTGTAATTTGAAGGGCCATTATGATTCGTTTTTGTTTTATTTACTGGTAAGATAATAGCATGTTTCCAAGTTTGGGGGAAGTGGTCAATTCAAAGTGCAGTGTTGAAGATTGCTGTTATAGCTGCGATACAGCTAAAGGGAAGTAGTTTAAGTGTAAGGTTAGTGATGTAGTATCCGTTTTTATATTTTTCAACTTTTGGATAATAGTTTGTGTTTCTGATGGAGAGATAAATTGAATGGGGTGTGGAACTGTTTCATAATTTCAGATATTTGTGTCAAATTGGTGATTAATCACAACATTGATTAATGCAACATTGGATTGGGTTTGAATGTTTGTATTAGGTGATTTGCTATTGTATGGGCTTTTTGATGTTCTGAATAGATTGTTAGTTTATGAAAAGAGGGTAGGAACATTGATTTTCTCTTTAGTAAAGTATTTGATTGTCTTCCTTAGTTGAGAGTTTGGGTGGAGTTGATGAAAATGCTGCTGAAATCTATGGTGTTTGTGGTTTCGGATCATATTTATGTTTTCTTTGGTAAATATGTTTAGTAACTTTTTTATCATGTGCTTTACGGTTTCAAATCCACAGGCGTTAATGGCACGATTGGTTTTGATTTGTAACTGAGCTTTCTAATTCTTGCAATGTAGATGCAGATTCCCCCCCTCTTACACACACACACACACACACACACATCTAAGTGCAGGCGAAAAAAACTTAGTTCAGTTATGAACCTGACCAAGACAGTACAAATGATCCTAAAGACAATTTCTGCACACCATGAACCGCATTTCCGAATAGAGGACTATTATTGACACTAAATTTTCATCTATAGCCGAAAGATTTTAATTGCTTAAATAGCAAAGTGATGCGTTTAATTTTGTATCTGACTTCAACAAATTAGCAGAAATTAGTTAATCAGGCTTATTAAACTAGTGGTGCCTATAAATAGCTCGGCTTCCCGAATTACTTTTTCTATTTCCTTTGTCTCGTCTAGCTACTCGGACTTGCCACATTACTCTTGCAGCTGCCGTTCTACCGTCGCCCAAGTACATTTTTTCAACATTTTCTAAATTTTCGTTTCCTAAATAATATAACCGAAAAATATTATGTTACGAATAGTAAATAACAGTAAAACCTTATTCTAAATTGCAATTTTCTTTGAATATTTTCAGCCGTGTATTATACTGTATATTACAAATTTGAAGCTCAATGTACAGACATTTTTTGAGTTTCCGAAACACTTCATTTAAAGGCATTTTAATTACTTTAACTCACAAATAATATAGTGTTTACAAATTGATTAAAATATGCACATTTATGGCATGAGATTAAAAAAATAATTTGTGTATTTTTTGAATTTTATACTGTTCGATCGTAAACGTCCTAGCCCGGGGGGTCGGGCCAATGTTAAAGAAGCAATGTGAGCTGGCTGCTTGATTATAGACGACCTAGTCCGGGCGGAGGGGCCCTTGTGAGGGAAACAATGCGGTCTGGCTGCTCGAATCTTAGATGTCCTATCCCAGGGGGATGGGGCCAATGCTAATAAAGCAAGGTGAGTTGGCTGCTCGATCGTAGACGGCCTAACCCGGGATCGGGGGCCGTTTTGGAGAAGCTGGCAAAGACCGTTTTGGAGAAGGCGAGCTAGCTGCATGCATCATAGACGGCATTAATTGGGCGGTGAGGCCAATAAAAAAAAAGAATGTGAGGTGGCTGCTCGCAACTTTGACGGCCACACCGGGGGCGGGAGCCAAGTTGGAGAGACGAAGCGAGCTGGCTGTTCGCATCTTAGACGCTCTATCCCGGGTGGTGGGGTTAAAGAAGCTAAGAGTGCTGCCTGCTCTCATCCTAGACGGCCTACCCGCGGGGGGGGGGATGGGCCAATGTAAGCTATGTGAGCTGGCTGCCCGATTATAGACGACCTAGTCCGGGGGGAGGGGCCCTTGTGAGAGAAGCAAGGGGAGTTGGCTGCTCGATCTTAGACGGCGTAATACGGGGGGCGGGGCCAATGTTAAGGAAGCAAAGTGACGTGGCTTCTCGCATCTTAGATGGCCTACCCCGGGGTTTGAGCCAATGTGAAAGAAGCAAAGTAAGCTGCCTGGGGAATATAATGGAGGATTACTCCAAGCCAAGCGCTTAACGCCCAAGGAGGGTTCAGAGACGCGTTCGTCGATGAAGACGCAATAAATGTTTTAACAAAGATAAAGTAACGGCTTCCTTTTTTGTCCTACTTGTCTAGAAGACAAGTAGTACATATTACATGGAGAAAGGTCATATTTACTTTATTCTCTTTGATTGTGTTGTAGTATATATCCAGGTAGTACATATCAAGGTTAAAACCACGATTTTGACTTTAAACGATCTCCAGAATTTTCGTGTTTTTTTAAAAATTGTTTCTACCGAAAGTTTGGAATTTTAACTAGTTTTGTTGTAGATACAATGTACTCAATGAAATGTTTTTATGACGCGTTTTTCAAGAAACCCCTTCCTGTTTAGTATTTGATGACTAAACGTATATGAGAATCAGGTTATTAGTCAGAAGATGAAATATAATATACATCTTTAATTTAATATAATGTTCACAAGTTATTTTTTTGTAGTTTTCACATGATTGATTTTTCTACGCAATTATGTAGTCTCTGAAGCAGATTAAATGCTTTAGACGCATAAATCACAACAATCACTCACAAGGTTTCATTAAAGTACCAATTTTACGAAGGATGGGTTTATTTCCATAACTAAGTATATTTCTAAAAATATTTTGTAACGTGTATTACTCACACAACTTCTCTTGAACCATCGATTGAATAAATGGCGGTAGAATCGGGGTATTTGTTACGAAATAGGCCACTAGATTTTTTGGGAATCAGCCTTCTCAACTTTCTCAATAATTTGCGTTCTTTCTTAGAAGTTCGAGCTATATGATGTGATGGACCTTCACCTGCTTCGGTAATTTCCTTATATTTTTTTTAGAAAATCACGGACAGAAGTTCTTGTCTTCAACAGAAAATAGTTTCTATTTCGTGTCAGTGAAGATGTGTTTGGAATGTTCTCATCAGTGCTCACTGCCGGCTTTTGCCTTCTACTGTTTATGGAGCCAGGGAGGGGGAAGCAAGGTCATCGTTAACGAAAAGTTGCGCGATTAATAATAATTATTGTAGTTTCCATGGCATGTCTTTGCAGAGCAGACAGCAAGGAGTGCTAGCTGTGGCTCATATCTAGCATTGAAATTACACCAATAATCCATAAGATATTTCTTTTACAAACACAGAATTTGCAATTTCATTAATTACGGATTAATTTCATTTTGAAGTTTTTGTTAAGCGACTTTTGTAGTATTAATTATTACCTGCAGAATTCGGCGAACCTTTCGAACTATCAATTAGATAACGTACACAATGCTTGCCACAAGCATTCGTCTTACCATCGAATTACAGCATCGTTTGCTAATCTGGCAAAAAAGTGAATGTTTTATATTTTTTTATTTCCTCTCCTGACAGTTCGTGCAAGACATCCGCATATGTTCTCTCAGAAGGTATTTTTCTCGTCACTTTAAAGTAAGAACTAAACTGCAACTTATGCAAAATGTTAGTCACTTGACATATGCCACTGAAAAGGAGAGGAATATTTTAATGTTCTTCTAGCAATCTTTGTTACAAAATACTAGAATTACCAGATATATACTAAAAAACGAATAGGACTTGTTATAAATTTGTTTGCACAAAAAATACGACTCCGGAGATTCCAGCCAACATTTAAAACCCGCACTTTGTGATATTCTCCTTTTATTTGAGTGACTTATGCCATATTTCTCATTTATTTGTTTTCTTTTAGTTATTTGACGTCTTGTAGTAGAGTGAAATTTCTTGTTCTTATTCTTACATGAGTTTGAGTGAAATTTCTTATTCTTACATGAGTTTCTTCAGCTACTGTTTAGTCTGTTAATCAGTTATTTATATTTTGGTATTTTAGTTTTAATCTATTCATTTTTTATTTTGTACAGTTAATTTAATATTTGCTTTGTTTCATTATATTGAGTTATTTTAAAGTTAGTATGGCTCAACCCAGGTCATGTAGATCTGTTCTTGGTAAAAAGCACATGAATGCATTAGTTTCAATGGAAATAATAATTGCTGGTAAAGGAAAGAATTAATGTGTGAAGGGAGGCGTGTCACCCACGTCTTTATTACATCATGGGTGGGTAAATTATTAGAGGTAAATTAATTCCATTTGTGTTACCATGTCTTATTTAAGAATTGTTTATATGAAAAATTTCCATAATTATAGTTTTATAGTTTCTAATGATCATTAACATAAAATAGTAATAAATATAATTGTATTTTATAAAGTTGCTGAATATTTATAAGTAGGTGTGATATCAGTTGCATATCATGATCAGTTGCAGTATCGTAGGCAAATGCAAAAAATAAACAAAATCATCTCAGCTCGCCCAAGAAGAATGTTCTCTGTCACTGGAATTAACTCACTCACTAAGAATGCTACTGATACTGCAATCAAAATCTGCCTGAGGGATTGAGATCAAGTTATCCGTAGAAATGTCTAAAAAATTATTTATTGTTTATACTATTTGTTACCATTATCCATAATTTATAATATAATCGTTGTACTCTTTGTCTCTGAATATCAAATGCTTTAAGGATTACTTATTGCAAATTTCCTAATAATAATTCTACAAAATTTCCTTACTTACCTCCTATAATTATACAATTCGTATTGCATAACTACGTTAATATGACTATGTTAAAATGATTCAAAAGACAATCTGCACTGCTTGTTTGTCTATTAGGTCTTACGTCAAATACATTCCTAATGGAAATAGTTGAAGTTGATCCTCTGAGTTCTAATTACTTAAGTCAATGTTCTTACTAAATGACTTCATGTAACCACAGTTGTGAATAGCAATGATATTATAAATCCTTATTAAACGTCATTTTTATGAGGGTAGCATTTTTCTGGTTTCAATTCATTAAATACAGTTTTTTTTAAGTATAGTACTTCTTATTAGTCTCCATATAACACATCGATACATTTATGTTAGAAGAATTAAGATCACCAGAGGAAATATCAGTCAGGTAAGAATGAATTACGTAATTAATTATATCCTGTTGCTACTATAATTCATTTTATTGAAATCCCTCCACTATTTTGTTTTTGAGACTTTCAAATGTTATTAAAACGAGAACGTTATTTAAACAATTGTTGGGACTTCCATTTTAAATGTGTAATCAACACAGCAATTTGCCAAGAGATCGGTTTTAAGGTTGTTTTCGCACAAAACACTCTATTCTCCAATTCCATTACTCGAAAACGTTGATGTCTTATTTCGATAAATAGTGCACTTAGTTCATGCTTCTGTACGGACAAAATGTTTAACACTAACGAAAGACGAGACAGAAGGATTATCACATACCAAAAATACTTCCACGGCAGAGAGCCTTGCCCTGACAGACAAGAACAACAATCAACTGTATGCATTCTATCAATCGGGGGCGGACGCTTTCATAGTTTCAAAAGTTGGTTGTTCTGACCGGAAGTAGGTTCAGACGCCACATTGAAAATTCAGTCCTTGGCGTTCCGTTAATTGAACAATAGGCGAACGAAGTTGGGGCAGGTGAACAGTAGGCGGGTGGACAGATGACCTCGCAAACAGAGGCCGGGCGGAAGGCGCACAGAGGCGGCGGGTGCGGGCGTAGGGAAGCGCATGAGCAAGTGGCATTCGGAAGCGGGCGAGCATGGAAGGGCGGGCAGCATGAAGGCGGCGAGCATGGGGGCGGCGAGCATGGCGGCGGCGGCGGCGGCGCGGCGGGCGAGCGGGCGCGGGCGGCGGACGGCGGGCGGCGGGCGGGCGGGCGGGCGGCGGGCGGCGGGCGGGCGCGGCGGCGGGCGCCGAGCGGGGCGGCGGGCCAGCATGGGCGGCAGCGGCGTGCGAGCATAAAGCGCGCGAGGCGGGCGAAGCATGGGCGGGGCGCGGGCGACATAGCAGGCGGCCGAGCATGGAGGCCGGGTGGGCGAGCATAGAGGGGGCGGGCGAGCATAGGCGGCTGCGGGCGGGCGAGCATGGCGGGCGGCCGGCGAGCATTGGGCGGGCGGCGGCGCGGGCGGCGAGCGACCATGGCGGCGCCGAGCATGGCGGGGGGCGGTGCAGCATAAGCAGCGGGTTGAGTATGAGGGCCGGCGGTCCGAGCTAGCGGCGGGCATGGCGGCGGGCGGCGAGCATGGCGGCGTGGGCGAGCATGCGCGAGCGGCGAGCGAGCATGGGCGGGGCGGCGGGCGCAGCATAGGCAGGCGGCGAGCATGGAGGCCGGCGCGAGCATAGGCGGCGGGCATCGCGGCGGTGCGAGCATGGCGGCGGGGAGCATGCGCGGCGGGCGACATGGGCGGGGGCGGGCGGGCGCAGCATGAGCGGCCGGGTGGCGAGTATATGCTGGGCGAGCATGGCGGGCGGACAGATGAGGGCGGCGGGCGAGCATGGGCGGGCGTCGCTGCGCGCTGCGCGCTCCGTCGCGTCGGCCGCGCGCGCAATTAGGCGCCATTGCGCGCTGTTAGGGCCCATCAGCGGCGCTGCGCGTCGGCTGCGGCATGTGCGTGGAGATGGACGCGCGCGCGCCGGGAATGCCTGTCCGCCGCCCTCAAAAACACGTAGAATCCCGAGACAACCCTCCGCAGACGCAGACGCCAACTACGTGCACATTACCGCAGTGCATTTGATGGACATCGGACTGTCCCGCCAGGAAGGCAGACTCCGACGTTGGTCCTGCACCGGTGAATGATTAGAAATGTCACTGTTTCCTGGGTTTCTTATGTATCCCCCCACGTAACAATTAACAATTTTGTCTCCACGGAGTTATCTTGGAGCACAAGAAGTTAGATCTGAATATTGAAATATGTACACTTAAAGACAACACTATTATAATGTGATGAAAGTTCTAAATGTATCAACTCTCAATGTCTAAACACGCATTTGTCTAGCACTAATATCTGAGACGGCTTTTCTGTTTGTGCTAGACCGCAAAATATTTATGGTTAGTTGGGTAAAATTTATTGTTCTTGAAATTGTGAGTGTAATACCTTAATTTGTCACCAACGTCATAAATCTATGTATTTAAAAAATTAAGTATTTTGCTATGGCATCCTTTCGAACTTCTACTGACCCAATAGTATTTCTTTTCCCTTTGAATTAAATAATGTGATCTCTAGATGATTCACCAGCATTTAGTGTGAATTAATTAAATAAATCAATTAATCGCACGCTCATCAGTAGTCAATTGTTTTCTTCCAGAGGCTGTCTGTTTCAATTATCAATAGATATGAGCATATCAATATATGTAAGACCTCGCCACGTAGGGAAGCGGGGGGTAATGGGAGTCAGCGGTAAATTATCGATATATATATATATATATATATATATATATATATATATATATATATATATATAGTAAGCAACCCATATTGAGAGGCAGAAACATATGTTTCTACGTACCATTATTCATTATAACTATAGCCAGTTGATCGCCGCAACCGAAAAAAGCTTTCACGACGATTATCGCGTTCGTACCAGGTAAGAGAGGGGTTCATGTTAGAAAGTGCTCTCAGAAAATAAGGTCTTACTCACGTGAACTTGGAGATTTCTCGAAGTATTAACATTTTTTGGAAGGAAAATACTCCAGGAATTCATTTGATTCCAATCGCGAGTAATTTTAAATATTCTTTAAAGTTTTATGACTAGTTATGTTAAAAATTTACTTTTGGGGTAATGGTGGTCAGTGATTCTTATTATCATAACTTTACTGTAATTGCTCCAAACAAAATAATATATTGATCTGAATGGGTTTAAATGGTGCTATTTATACATGTAGCAAGAATGGCTGGACGGATGAAGAATTCATTGAATGCCTCAAACGCTTTAAAAGCTTTACTTGACCAACTGCCCAGGACCCAATGCTGCTGATCTTGAACAATCTTAGGAGTCACTTCTCTTTAGACGCCTACAATTATTATGAACAAAATAAATACTATTTGAAGTACTAATGTGTTCATTTTTATTCATATTTCTTTAGTGACTTTCATTGCCCAAACCGTGACTCCCATTACCTGCATGTGAGGGTAATGGTGGCTAAATGCAATTTTTTGGAAATTCGACATTTGAGAGGGTTTTAGTGAATTTTTGACGTGAAAACACAAGCTTAATAAGTAATGCGTTATATAAAAAACACGTACTTGTTCATAAAAACAATTCGTACTGATTTAAATTGAAAAAATAAAAAGTTACTCTCATTGTCCCCGCCTTCCCTATATTGTTTACAAGTTCGTCAGAGTTTGTTTCAGGAGAATGTATTACATTTTGGTACTGACTGTGTTGGCACGTATTTGTTTTCGTGGTGTATTTTGTCGAGAACATTCGGACAGTGGGGTTTACAGGTATCCTTACCTGAAAGTCTAACAAAAGTGTAAAACAATTTTTATCCTTTTCTGTAAATGAATGCAATACCATAAAGTTAAGAAAAGTAACGCTCAAATCTTAAGAGTTGATGAAGATAGACTGTACAATCAATCTTATCTTCTGTGATCAATAAAATTGTCCTTAACATGAAAAAGAAGTTCAATTCTCATTGCGAATTTAATATATTCTGCAAGAAATATTCTCACCATAAGAAAGAAGTACAAATCCAGTAGTGCAAGTTAAATATTATTTTTCTTCATCGTTCATAGGTAAATTAATATAATTTCATTAAAATATTATAAATTAATTCACGAAACTAATTTAGTATGCCCAGGAAAATGAAACTTTCAAAATATTAAGAGGACATTTTTACTCCTTTATATGTTCAGTG